GTGTCATTTGGGAGGATGACGGTCAAGAACCCTATGAACCCAAGAACAGGTAAAAGACATTCAGTGGCGCAAGATCGTTATAATTACCATCTGTCTGTAAGGTAAACATTTTTGTCTAGATGCACTTAAGATATTTATTTCATTTTTGTCGAGCATCCAAATAAAATTGTATCATCATGTTTAAATTTAGAATTTATTATATGCATTAAATTCTCTGTCTGTCTGTCTGTAGGGCTGCAGGAGCTTCTCTTGTCAGGAAGCCCATGAGAGATTCCCCCACACATTTACCACCAATGAGAGAAATGCCCACAATGCTCTCCAAATACTGTTACAGCGGCCTGCTGCTCACTCCAGGTTAGGACACATGCAGTTGTGGAATTCTTGGGCTTCTTGTTAGTCAAAACCTTTGAAATGATAGACAGCCTTTGGCTGTGAAGAACTGTGGGGAAAAATGTGAAAGCCCAAAGAAAATACAGGTAATTATTAGAATCAGCACTTGGATGTCAGAACAATCAAAACAGATGTCACAGTTTGGTCTTGTTTTCCAGTCAAGTATATTGTTTTACAACAATATTAATTCATTTCCAACATTAATCAAACTTCAGGCAAGATGACGTAACACAATAAATCTGATTGCAAAACCTCATTCTCTGACATCACTGAGTGTTTTGATAAGTATAAATATATTTAAAAAAAATTATGGGGTTCACGGGTTTTTCCCAATAGGATGAGAACGTTTATATATTATCTGAAAAGAAGTCTTATTATTTTACACAATTTTGCTTCACAAGTTAATGTTTTACTGCAAAACAAGCAAAAACTGCTGATCAAAAATCATTTTTTTTGGCAATTCCTTCTAGGTCCACTAAAAAATTATAGCTTTTTGGTGTACATTTACATTTGTTTATTAAGCCAGTGCTTTATACAAAGGTATTTACAAATGAGGAAATGTACAATAATAAAAAATAAATAAATTAAAAAAATTTTTTTTTTTAACATTTAATGTTAGTGCTACCAGATTCAAATGGCTTTGATGTATTCAAATACATCATCTTCTAAAACAGTGGTTATAATGCATGAAACTGCCAGAGTGCTTCTGAACAGGTTCATGATGCAGTGCGAGACAGTAGTCTTCAATCTCCTGCACTACACTGCCCCTATGTGGACATAAAGCTAGCACCTAATACTACTCATGCAGAAGACATCATGATGCTTGTGGCATTAAGAGAGAGTCATGGGCGTCGCTAGGCCATTTTTAGGGGGGCTATAGCCTGCGAGAAACAGAGAGGCTATTATTATTATTATCATACCCTCACTGGGGGCTGAGCCCCCCCTAAAATGAAAATCCTAGAATCGCCCCTGGAGAGAGTCATTAAATAGAAAACAAGAATTAGATAAAAAGATGGAGAACCAAAATTATTTAGCACTTCTCGCCATATGCCAAAATTACATTTTCACTTCACAAGATGTTAATCAATGGACTGGAGTTGTGTGGATTATTGTGATGTTATTATCAGCAGTTTGGACTCTCATTCTGACGGCACCCATTCACTGCAGAGGATCCATTGATGAGAAAGTGATGCAATACAAAATTTCTCCAAATCTGTTCCGATGAAGAAACAAACTCAACTACATCTTGGATGGCCTGAGGGTATAGAGTAAATCTAAAGCAAATTTTCATTTTTGGTTGAACTATTCCTTTAAGCCATACAGTCTGACAATGCACTCCGTTATTGGTCAAGACTGATGTTATGTAGCTATACAGAAACTGATTTAAAGGGATAGTTCACCCAAAAAGTTATCTGACAACCTGTTAACAAAGCCCTATTGGGAAATCTAGTCAAAAGCCTCCTCTGCAAACTGTACACAGTGATAAAGTTCCTTCATGGATGTGTTGCTACAGATGCTGTAGGGCTTTTTCCTCTCAACCTTGAAATCTCAAGTGTTGAGGAAACACTTCTACTGCAGAGTTGATCCTGGCGATAACGTGTTAACTGAATGCAATCTGCATGTGTGCCGCTTGTCATTGAGGCTCTCTGTGTGAGCAATGAAAGCACAACGAGGCTACATTTATTTAAATTAAAAAAAAAATACAGTAAAAACAGCAATATTGTGAAATAGTATTATAATTTTAGATAACTGTTTTCTATTTGAATTTATATCAAAATGTAATTTATTCCTGTGATGCAAAGCTGAGGTTTCAGCATCATTACTCAAGTCTTCAGTGTCACATGATCCTTCAGAAATATGATGATTTGCTGCATTAGAAACATTTCTTATTATTATCAGGGTTGAAAAGAGTTGTGCTGCTTAATATTTGTGGAAACTGTGATTATTTTTTAAGGATTCTTTGATGAATAGAAAGTTCAAAAGAACAGCATTGATTTACTGTCACTTTTGATCAGTTTAATGCATCCTTGCTGAATAAAAGTATTAATTTATTTCAAACAAACCAAAAAATCTTACAGACCCCAAACTTTTGAATGGTAGTGTTTCTGCAGTACATAGTATGCTATATTTTCTGCAGTATATAGTATGCTAATTTTCAGTATGCATAGATATACATCTGTAAATAGCACAAATGCACATTCACAATTCTGTCTATTGGCTTTTTCTTTTTCTCTTTATTTTATTACTATATTGTTATCTAAAATGTATTGTCTACTCTCTACTCTATTATTATAGTTTTTATTACCTTAAATTATATGTATGTCTGCGTTTGTACCTGTACTGGAAGCTTCCTGACACCATGACGAATTCCTTGTGTGTGTAAACACACTTGGCAATAAAGCTCTTTCCGATTCTGATATACATAACATATAATAAGCAAGTGACAAATATGCAGGTTTGCTGAAATGTGAAATATACAGTACAACAGAGCACACTGGTCTGTATCTCACAATGCATTGTGCTCAACTTGACCTTGCATTTCCACTGTGACAAATGAAACACAACAGACTTTAGTCAGGGTAGATGCTGTATTTAATTCAACACAAATGAAACTGTGAGGGATAAAAGTGATGAGGCTGTACTGTGCATCTTAGTGCTGATCACAAAAAATTTTTTCCCCAGATTTTTTCTGATATTGTAAAAAATAGACGTGACCTAGAATGTACGTCTGTCCCTCCTGGCCTCATTTTTATTCATGTCAAATTAAATAAAGCATCTACCATAAATAATAGTATACAGTTTTCAAACAGTAGAACACTAGTATCCTTCATGTCAAAATACTATTCAGTTAAATCAAATAAACCTTGCTCAATGCTACAACCACCGCTAGAGGAAATGGCTTCAGCTCTTTAGCAATCCCTGCTGGTTGATTAGAAATGTAATGTTAAATTAGATTAAGTTGGCATGGAATTACCCAATAGATACAAAAACATCTTACATACACATAAACAGTGTGGGGTCAGAAAGCTTGATTAACTGATACATTTTTTTATTAATACTTTTATTCAGGTGCACTGAATTGATCAAAAGTGACAGTTAAAGACATTTTGTTATAACATATTTCTTCTTCAAATTAAAACTGTTATTTTAAACTTTCTATTCATCAAAGAATTCTGAAAAAAAAAAAAAATTATCACAGTTTCCACAAAAATATTAAGATTAATTAATTATTAATTTTTAACATTGATAATAATAAGAAATGTTTCTTTAGCAGCAAATCAGCATATTAGAATGATTTCTGAAGGATCATGTGACACTGAAGACTGGAGTAATGATGCTGAAAATTCAGCTTTGCCATTACAGGAATAAATTACATTTAAAATATATTAAACTAAGTAAACAGTTATTTTAAATGGTAATAACATTTCACAATATTACTGTTTTTAGTGTATTTTTTATTAAATAAATGCATCTTTAAAAAACCTTAAGTGGTCTGTGCAATGAATGATGGCTATATTCATGCTATAGTCATATGTTAAGAAAGAAACCTACAGATGTGAATTAAGATTCGAAAGCTGTTGTAAGAAGAGTGTCAATGATTATAAAAGCGTAAGAAGTAAATATGATTGTGACAGTAGTCAGTTAAGCACACATTACTGCACTAAACCCATCTCTCTCTCACACACACACACACGCACATCTTTGTTCTGCCAGAGCTGCATATGGAGTCTCCCTGCCTAATGCAAAGTTCTGGTTAAACATTGTCCCAAAGTTTGCGTTCTGCCTTCTGTTGTTTTTACACTAAAGCCCAGGCAATTGTTGGAGGCATTATTGACTTTGTAATTAAACTATTTTAAGATCAAGATTTTGTAATCATTACATTTCAAGCCATCTGTTCCTGTCCGAGGCCCGAAATGGATTTTCCCTTTGAGGAGATAAAGGCCAGCACAATTTGTCTTTACACACAGACAAATGCTGAAATCCTCATCTGAGCCGGGCGAGTTTGCACCAGCACCATACATACAAATTATGATGCAATTATATGATTTCAGCTGATCTGATTATGGATTTATTAGCATCCATCTGCTCAAAGACTAACAAAGCTGAATTTATAGAACCCAGGGATGAATAAACCACTCCTAGAGTCATAATATATGAACATCTTGTGGCCTTGATGCCTGGTTTTAGTCAACATAATTATCAACAATGTTAATTTAACAATGCAGAAATCAACTAATCTCTTCACATAAAGATCCACAATTGTGCTTCCAGTTTGAAATGCCCTTAACCAGAGTTATTATAGTTAACTGTGATTATACATTTGTGTAATTGAAATATGAAATAAAATAAAATAAATAAAAATGTGACATACAAAACAGAAATGAAATGAAAATTAGAAATGTTGCTGTGGCAACCAACTAAACTAAGGTTATGTCGAAGCACTAAAATTACAAACTGAAAATAACAAAAACTAAAAATGAAGTAAAACTTAAGTAAAACCTAAATAGAGATAAATTAAACAAATAGTAATATAACAAAAAAAATGTACTATAAGATATACAAATGAGCTAAAAACATGTCTCACCTTCTGTGAGTACAGCAGAGATGTTGAATTACAGATAAGGTTTCAGTCATGACGGCCCACCAGTTGACCCCATGAACACAGTATTAATGGGGGGCAAAGATGACACCATTTCTCTGATCTCTGTGGTCCCCTGGAGAGGCAGCAGTGCATTCTGGGAGTGATAAGGAGCAGGACTTCCATACATGCAGGGTGTCGAGATGGAGCAGGAATGAGCGATGCTGGATCCTGAAATAGGACAAAATAAAGAAGCATAAGACAGTAATGGAAGACATTTTAGGTAAAAATAGCCATGCATAAAAGCCTCGTTAAATATATAAGGGAGGCTGGGTCTAGTTGTCACACTATGTATAAGCAAATTCAGCTTTGATCACAGAAATCACATTTTAAAATATATTCAAGTTATTTTAAATTGCAATAATGTTTCACAATATTACAGTTTTTACTGTATTTTTGAAAAAATAAATGCAGCCTTGGGAAGCATAAGAGACTTCTTGAATCTTTCTTTGATAATGCAAATACAATGACACATATAAAAAACTTGTGACAACTAGCCCCGGTCTCCCTTAGCTGTATTTCAGAATCAGAATCAGAATCAGAATCAGAATCAGAATGAGCTTTATTGCCAGGTATGTTTACACATACGAGGAATTTGTTTTCGTGACAGAAGCTTCCACAGTGTAACAGAATGACAGTGACAGAACAAAAAAAACACAGATAATAAAAAAAAAAAAAAAATAAAAAAAATAAATTGAACAAGTAAAGTAAGGAATAAAAAAGATACAAATCGACAATTGTATGTACAGGTATAGAACAATAGACAGTTGTATGTACAGGTATATTATGTGCAAGCTGTGTCAGCTGTATTTCTGTCCTCACCTGCTGTGTGTGCGCCCATTGCAGACAGGTCAGTGTAGTAGGGTCTTGTTGTCTTCCTGCTCGTGTCATCTAGGATGTTGAGAGGGTCGTGCACTTCAGCATAGGCCGAGACAGAGCGAATGCTGCTCACGCTGCTGATAACTGATACATGCTGATCGATAAACGTGCCCATCCTCTGAGCGTCCACATACCCGCTGCTGCTGTAATATCCTGACCAGGAGAAAGCCGAACATTAATGTTTCTAAAGAAGCATCTGAAAACAATTCATATTTACCTTTCTGAGCAGCATACTAACATAATTAAAATACAGGATAAATCTCGTCCTTTGAGGTCAACTCAAAACACAAAACACATTGCAAATGTGTTACAGAGAAATCTATGGGGAAAGAACATATGGTAAATCACTTTTTTATTTAAATGTATTTATTTGATAGTTTTCCTTATTCATTTATGTAATTCCTTTTTGTCCTTTTTGCTACTTTTTTAATAGGAACCGTGAAGAAAGGACATGAATGATATATAGAATAGGGAAGAATAGAAATGTGACATGAGCTGGACTCAATCTTGCATTGCCTGCATAAGCACCAAAGCTCATTGTGCGCGCTAAATACTAGGACATGACTCAAATTTATTTCCTTTTATTATTTTATTTTATTTGATCTTTTAATTAAATTTTTTATTTATAATAAATGTCTTTACTGTCACTTTTGATCAATTTAATGCATCCATGCTGAATAAAAGTATTAATTTCTTTTTAAAAAATCTTACTGACCCCAAACAGCAGTGTAAATATTTTTTTTATATAAATTTATGTTAATTGGCAAATAATAATTCAGCTTTTCTCACCATTGCGCCCAGAGCTGCAAACTGGACCTGAACATCCATCTCCACTGGCAACACTTCCTCCAAAGCTGTACCCTGTGGAGTCCAGCAGCTGTACGCCCTCAGTATCCATCACAGGGTCACCTGAGGCTGCGTATCCAGTCACTGCAGCCCTGGAGCTGTAGGGAGACACGGTACAGCTGCTGCTGAAGCAGTCTTTGGTCAGCTGGTGTCCAGAGAAGGGTGCATAGCAGCCGCTTTCAGCACGAGCCTGATAGGCTGATGTTGGAGTGTGAGTCTGAGCTCTGAACACAGGCTGGTAGTAAGAGGAGCTGGGGTAGGAGCCAGAACTAGTATTGTGCAGACTCTGGTACATGGTGTCGGAGAAGGTCTGGCAGGACACCTGGGGCTGGATGGGGCAGCTGCTCTGCGGCCTCACAGCCATCGGGCCCTGGTTGATCACACTGCTACGGTTGATCATGGCAGGAGAGATCGGAGGGGTCATCAGAGGGGCGCTGTTCTGCGAGTAATCTATTTGACCTTAAAAATATTAGTAATTATGTTAATATAAATTATTATATAAAATGTTTTCACTTGGAAATTGCAAGTAAATTTCACAATTAATTACAAAGAAACAGCAACACATTG